CTCGATAAATTTTTCTTAAGTCGGTGATCTACGTTCCAAGGAAATGCATTGTTGAGTACACAACAGTCAGAGTAAGCCTGGTACTTTAATCTAAATCTTCCATCTTCTTTTGATGCATTAATTGCCAGGTAGTTTAATTTATACATAGGTGCAGTCAAAAAATCAAATCAAAGGCAAGGAGGTAGATCAGAATCATAGCTGTCCCTAGTACATGTTCATGATTATATACTACATAATCATATTTTGTTTCTTCCCAGAAAATTAGAGAACAAGAAAGATATTATTTCCATTCAACCTAGTATAATTATTTTTAAAAACGAAGGAAACTAACCCATTCTTCCTGGAGTAGCTCCTCAAGTATCGTTTCAAGCCCAGGTAGAGGCTCAATAGCATTGCTAGTGCCATCACTTGAAGATTCAAGATCATCTGAGCCACTCGGCAGTATAGAAATTATTTAGGGGGAGAATCTCCTGCTATCTTTATTGCATCCCAATGAGTATCTTTTAAGCACTAATGAGAGGATCAAATCTTGACCATCAGATCTTGCCTCAATCAGGATTAGAAGACCAAGCCACGACCTTATATGATCTAATACACTTAGACATTTATGCAAAACCCAGTAGTCAGGATTTCCCCTCTCATCTCAATGATAAACTACTTTTACAAGATGAGACAAATTAAAACCAACTCACACGATCACATGAAAATGTCATATGACTTGGCGTTTCAAATCCCAATCATTCATGCAAGATTCAAGGTTAAGACTGACTTCTTTCATTCTCACTAGAAATTAGTGATTTAACAGTGACAAAGTAAATACAAACCTGAGGTATCACTTTATCAAGAGTTTCTAGAAGTGGATCTCTTCTAACTGTTTTATTGATAGCTTAATCCTTGATTTTTCTCTGCAAACAATTCAAATGAAAAAATTAACGCTAAATGGTAGTTTTCTCATAGACGCTTGAGTTACACAAAAAGCAAAAAAAAGCTACGAAGCTGAAATCTTTTCCATTTCTATGAGAATCTAACACGAAGATTAACCACTGTGGTTCACTAAATTAAAGACAAGATTGTTTCAAACTCTAGGGATGCAACACCAATGTAGGTGATTACAAAATTTGGGAACGGGGAAAAAAAAGAATCCCTTGTTGCTTATGATTCAAAGCATGGATTTACTCAGTCTACTAGAATAAAATCAGCATTTCAACAGAACAAATCAATATGAAACCAAAGTCCTTTTAAAAAGTTTTGTTGGAAACTTACCGATCAACACTAATAACTTTGACCTTCACTTTATCACCTTCTGTTAAGATGTCTCTGACATCATGAACTAGATCCCACGACACTTCAGAGATGTGTACCAGACCAGTGAGGTGATAAAGGCCTGCATCGTCCTGTGATGTCACTTGCCAACTTTTCCATTATATAATGAAAAGGGAAACTAGAAACTTATGAATTATACATAGCACTTACTTACAGGAAGAGCAAATGAACAAAAGCCCATAGTCCTCAACAGAACCAACCACTGCTTCCAAGACATCCCCAACCTTGACCCGGTCAGAATATCTAGACCAGGCAGCTTCCTTTTCAGAGAAGATCAATTTCCTTTTATCTTCATCTGCTTGAATTACCTAAAATTACAAGAAACTGCAATCATTTGTATATTAAAAACAATCTTGATTTATGTCATAAAAAGGTCAAAAAATCGCAATATAAGATGAAATAGCATATGCTAACACCAAACCGATCCAGTAACTAACGAAGGGAAGCACAGGAAGGAACTAAAGCAGCAAAGAGATCATGTTAAGAAATTCATGTCTAATGGAAACAGAAATTCCGGCTCAGTCATAATTGCATAGTCTCACGCGGGAAAAAATGTCAGTATTTGCTTCCATGGTGAGACAAGGATTTCAGCTCATGACAAAACACAGTTAGCCAGCCGACCAGGATAGCAAAAGATGGGATGGAGGAAAAAAAATGGTGACAGTATTATGTCACATAGAAGACGAGGCAGATACGTAGCACCTTACTTGCTGTAACAGAAGAGGATTGATAAAATAAAGACCTTAAGGTCCCAACGTCACTGATTACCAGAATCTAGCAGGGATGCCCAATCAGGTGCTAATAATGTTTAGTAAGTAAATAGAATACAGCATAGAACAAAAGGATATGGCAGTGAACTGATTAATAAATTACCTTCACAGATATAAGAGAACCCACTAAACCTTTTGCAATGTCCTGGATAGATTTGCTTGGCTCTACAACAAAATATCAGTAACAAGAAGTCAGAGATATACACTCCACCTGCCACTATAATCTTTCAACTTGAAGAGTAGTGTTGAAGACCTATCAATCATTGCAGGATAACAGTATATAGGTACGCAGGAAAAAAAATCTCTAGCATCAAATTAATATTTAATGAAGTTATCAATTCCTGAACTCAATTGACTAATATAGTTTGAATTTGAATTTCCAAAATCATCAGATACTATCATCACAAATATCAATAAATAGCACATAGAAGTGACTGTTACATGGTCCAAAGTAAAACTACCATTAAGATGAGGGCTAAGTCATTTCTAGTCAGTTATCCTGCTAATTGAGCACCAGTATCAGCAGCATAATAAATCAAATATGTAGTGACTTAAGATAGTGATTTTGAATTGCTTATAGACTTTAGAGACTGTAGTTATTATATTTTTAAACTGTCATAACTATATGGGTGGTATTCAAAGATCTCACTTTAATCGATAATTTCTGACCTATGTACTTCCATGCTACTTTAAAATAAGACGTGGACTGGTACCTACGATAAGAAAAGAGTAAATGATATAAACTCAGAATTAATTTACATAAAGGAGCATGGAATTTCTGGGGGAGGAAAAAGAAAATGGCGAAGGAGAGAGAACCGATTGCAGGAGACTTGATGGACGATTAAACAAATTCTTTTCACTTCAATCCATATGAAAATGTTAACAGCAAGGAAAAAGTTACACACATATATTCAGTATGAAGATATGGGTACCTTTACAAGAATGCAGTGGGCTTAACTGTGGGAATGGGAGAAACCCCACAAGAGAATAAAATCGAACTATCAGTCCTCCACCATTAAAGTCTTCAATTCTGCCATCATAGATGAACCCACTATCTTTATATGTCTTTGCAGCCTTCCAATCAGCAGATCTCTAATTCTTTGCAGAAATTAAGTATTAGGCATATGGTGATCAAAACTGACATCAATGCAAAATTAAGGTAGTGGATTAACTTAAAAATTCGCAAGTCACAACCCAAATATTTAAAGAGAACACATTCATATGTTCATTATTTATAAAACTAGAAAGGGGAACACAGTAAATTTACGATTTATCTCACAATGCCGGTATTTTTCCAGAACATCGGCTTCCCCATGCAGTACTGCACCATGTAAAATCTAATTCTTCTTAAATTGTGATCTATCCAAATAACCAGCTGATTGTGTTAAATAATCAATCATGTATCCTCTTAAATCTTGTGAAATATATAAAGCGTTTATATTATAGCAGCTGCAGTTGCAAAGTTGCTCAACTTAAAGTATAAATAATAATATCACTGAATGCTATGCATATTGCATATGACTACAACTAAAATAACCTTCCAAAAGTAAACAAGAAGCTAGCGCTCAGAATGGTAAGCTAACATTTTCTCCATTATATTGTTTTCCGCTCATATGCGAATACTACTCAAATCGTCAAGTCCTCGTCTTTCCGTAAATCGCTAAGTCCTCGTCTTTCCGTTCAAAATCCATGGATGCTTTAATCTCACGCAAGGCCATGAAATCAAAGATAATGGGAATTCTGCGTTCATTGTCTCGACTATTTATATTTCCTTTATCAATTGAAAGAAACCATAACAACCGATTCTCTTTAAATTCCTCAACTATTAGAAACCGCAAAAACTTTCCGTCCAAACAAAAGAAAGAAACTGCAGAACCTTGTAGACCCAACGAAGGTTGTCAATAAGCATTGCCACTAATTTTAGCCCATATCTCTTGCGACTCAAAATAGCCGCTCTCACAAGTCAAAATAACATTCTACGATTAAAATGTTTTCAAAATTAAGGAATAACCGATGACACACCCGAGCCAGGCGAGCGGCGTCCGGTGAGGAAGACGGGTCATCATGGAGTTGGGTCTCAGGATTTTCATCAATTTCAGTATTACCAGAGACGGAGACTTTAGCAGTATAACACCAGTGGTTTCTCACGGCCGATAATTTATGGGCATACTTTGAGAAATTGAATTGATTGGAGAACGGAAAGGAGATTGAAGGTGAAATGGAGACATCGGAGGAAGAAGAGGAAAGTTGTGAGAAGGAGGAGATCGACGGGAAGGAGCTGAGGGTCGTGGCGAACATTGGCATTGTTCTCATGCAAGAGGATGAGCGGAAACAACAGAGGAGAGCTCACTCGCTTCTGTGGAACACGCTGGGGGTTGGGTGGGGATAACGGGCTCTGGATTCGGCCATTTCTTGTGGATTTGAATATTCCACGTCTCCTAAATGAGCCAATAAATTATGCATTGGTTATATTGAAATTAGATACTTGGCTCTAAATTTTTTTTAGGTGAATAGCATCCAATATTGTCATAAGATACTCTTCTAATTTTTAATATAAGACTCATTTAATTAATTTGATTATATTAAAAAAGTTAGGTAAGTTAGTTAATTATAAGAAATATGACACGTTTTTCCTAAAATATCATAATCATATTTCTTAATACCCCTCTTCCTCTCCTACTTAATTATGGTTGAGGGAGTATCCATAGGGATAATTCAGAGAAAATTGATAAATATGATAAATGAGTCTTATATTTAGGACCAAAAGCAACTCAACAATTGGATCCTATATTAAGGACCGATGGAGTAGTTGATTAATTTGAGTAGATTAAGAAAATTAGTTAAATTAATTATTTGTAATAAATATGTATTTTTTTCTTAAAATATCATTGCTAATTATGTATATTAGTTAAAACTACCATTTAATGAAACATTTAACATGTCCCACTACTACAAAGACTTTTTTAAAAAATATATATATATAAAAGGCAAAATTAATTAGGATCTTATACCTAAGACTAAATTGAATGTCAAACTATCTGTTATATTAAAAACCGGAGATATTATTTCCTCACATTCAATACATCTATCACCAAGTGTTATTCTCATTTTTGGATTCACATCAAACACCCTAATCTTATTTATGGAGGTGAACTATAAATAAGATCATAGTGTACTATAAATGAGAGTATAGTGTTGAAAACACTAGAGCGTTTAGAAAAAAAAATATCAAAATACTAGGTACATCGTAAATAAGATTGGAATAATGAACACAATTAAAAAAATAACATCAGGATTATTTTTTTTCAATTTTACGCGCACACACCCATTACCCTTCCCCATGGGAAGAGCTCCCCAACAGACGCACCCCAGGAATCGAAGAGAGAACCTCCACAAAGTTGGGCTTGGGCCGAGATCGTGGTACTAAATGCTACCTTTGCCAAGATAACACCATTAAAGGCCCTCTCTAGCTGAAAATTTTCAAAATGATGATAAAAAAGAGTTCAACACTGCACACCTTGAAGACATTAGTTTGGATGCAAAATGAATGAAATAACTGTGCAACAAAGAAAAAGTTATTGAATATCGAAGCAATTAAAGAAGGTGCCCAATTTTCACACCCGTCGTGCAGAAAATCTCGACCTATCATGGGCTTATGTGAAGGATTTGATCTGATCAAGGTAACTCTTTCCCCAGGGGTATTACTATTTTTTGCACTTGTGATTTCCTAACTTGGGACTGTTTAGAGAACTGGTAGAGAAATATAGGATGAAGGGTAAAAATACAGAAAGCTCTCTAAATCTGAACAAGCCACTGGAGTGAGAATGAAGTTAACTTGTTAAAAATGAGATGCCAAGTTGTCAATCTAGTCACTTTGACTTGTCAACGTAATTGGGAAGCTTGTAAGAGTTAATCCATCAAGCTAGCAAACACCTCAAACCAAGAAGTCAACCTAGTAAAAATGAGAACCCAACTTGTCAGTTCAGTAACATTGATTTGTTAGTGTAAATATGGAATTTGTTAAGAGTTAATCCGTCAAGCAAAACTTCCAATTCAGAATTTAACTTGTTAAAAATGGGAAGCCAACTTGCAGGTTCAATGACAATGACTTGTTAGTGTAAATGCAAAACTTGATAGAGTTTTTCTTTTTTTCTTTTAAATAAAAACTGGATATCAATACTCTCAAAACAAAATTACAATAAAAGACATCCACTTCCTTCATTAATCTCCACCTCTAGGGTCTAAAGGTAGTTACATATCAAAGAGGCGCCAATTAGAATCTAAGCTACTACCTCTGTTTTTTTTAGCATAAGAGCAAGTCTAATATTTAATTTAGTTTTAAATATAAAACTTCAATCCAATTTGTGTCTAATATTTATCTATTTTGCGATCAAGTAATCCTTATTATAATTACATATGTTAAGAAGTTATTATTAATGGGTAATTTAAATACACATGATTAATAAGAATATTTTTAAAAAAGACAATATCTATTTATTACAAATAAATAACTTCCTTAATCTTCTCAAATAAGTTAACTAAGTCTTCTATTAACGACTGGAGATAATATAAGCCAATCTAGCTATCATATCCACTACTCTAATCCCATTCATACTAATTAATATAGTACAAATACACTTGTAATAGCAATCTGACATCATTAATAATAATATCCTTAAAAGGATGGTTGCTCTCGCACCCTCTCAAAGTTACATTCACTGCTTCAGTACAATCACAATAAAGAGTTATACCTAAAACTTTGATTTAACAAAGATCCAGACCATTCAAAATGCCAAGAAATTCCGTAATCATGGCAGGAACCACCACAAGCCTATAATTGAACTCACATATCCACCTATTAGCAGCGTTTTGAATGACTCTGCCACAACCGGTCCTACCATCTCGGCTTGTCCACTTCAAGTTTAACATGGTCCTCTTGAAGAGTTCTAGTAGTAATTAGACCCTTCATAGGCCTATCCGCATAGAAAGCACATCTATCAAGTAAGTCCTCATCCACACGAGTTCTAAACAGACTATCACATGCATTTATCTTTGATAGAGTTAATCCATTAGGTAAAACCTCCAAACAAGAATTTAACCTCTATCAAATCCATTAACCAAATTCCATTCTCTCAATCTAATAGAATGTCACATAAAGATATATTCACCCCAACAGCATTTCACAAGTAGGCAAATTACTAAAACATTCATTACTCATCCCAGCAAGTGTTTCTAAACAAGGACTCATCCCTCTTCCTTCAAAAGAATCATTTTAAACCATCACTAATTTTGATTTTGATTTAAAATTCATTCTAGCTTTGTTGATTAAATAAAATTTATTTTAACTGTGTTTTTTTTTTCTAGGTATAGGTATTCTCTTATTAGAGACAATACTATAAAAAGTATTATCGGGTACTAAATATGGACACATCTTTTAGCAGGGATTTAAACATTAGTTTGTATTTTGTAAGGTATTAACCCTTTTTATTAGACCCAACTCCTGTAGGTAATCATTTTGATTTAACTATTAATGTTAATTATTTTAATTTAATTTACAAATGAGTCAGTCCACTTTTTTACTTGGGCTTTTCTGAATTATTATTAAGCCCAATCAGGGTGGACTTTCGCTAAATCCGAAGATGGGGAGTCTGCAAGAGAGGGTAACGAATAGGAAGAACTGATTTATAAAGCATAGGTTCCATGGGTAATGAAGAATTAAAAAATAATTTTTTAAAAACTGCGTTCTTTTTCTCTCATCTTTCAGTTGCAAAATAATTTTCCGTTTTTTTTAAAATTGTCGTACAAATACAAGAGTAGGAAGAATAATACGGTAATTTTAACTTTCCCGGCCCTCCTTCTGGCCACTGTTCAGTCTATCGAGTTTCAATAACCTAAATTCATTATTTAAATTTTTATATAACATATTGAGTTAAATTTTTAATATTTCAATTGAAATATTAGATCTAAATAGTTTTTTTTTTCGCTATACATAAGTTTCTTCTTATTGGAGGCAATCATATTCGAGACACTGTTAGATACTCCTCCGGTCCTAATTATAAGACCCAATTGACTTATTTGAGGAGATTAAGGAAGTAAGTTAAGTTGGTTATTTATAATAAATAAGTGTTGTCATTCCTAAAATATCCTTGCTAATTAAGTATATTGGCTAAAACTATCATTATTAGAAGGATTATCTTGGAAAAAAATGCATAAATATAAGAGACAAAATGGATTGGGGTCTTATAATTAGGACCAAATAAAAAGTCAAATGAGGTCTTATAATAAGAATCGGAGGAGTACTAAATATAAGTATCTCTCTTAATTCTTTACGTTATGAGGTGGTCACTTGCACAAGAGCTCAAGATTTTTCCAATTTCACATAAATTCTTTAATGACTGTGATAAGTGATGAATAATGATATATATTTTTTCTTTCAACATGTTTCAAACTGGATTGCCAAGTTCTGGATGAAACTTGTTATTAATCCTTAGAGACCCTTTTCCGTATAATAACCTTTGACTATCTTGAAAAATAAAAATTTTCCTTCTAGTTACTTTTACTACTTATGTTCTTAATTTTGGACATTGAAGCTTTAATTGAATGTATATAAATTATATATATATATATATATTAATTGTAATATGCTTTTGCTTTGTTGTATATTGGTTTGTTAAGTGTATATATATTATGTATAGTATATTATATGCAATTTTTAATATAAAAACTAATTGACTAATTTGAGTAGATTAAAAAAATTAGTTAAATTAGTTATTTGTAATAAATATGTGTTGTCTTCTTTAAAATACCCATACTAATTATGTGTGTTAGCAAAAACTATCATTTGATGAAACATTTAACATATATAACTACTATAAGAACTATCTTAAAAAAATAGATAAATGTAGAGACAAAGTGAATTTTAACTCTTATATTAAGGACTGGAGAGAGTATAATGTAGGGAGGCTGCTTGATACAAAAGAAGCCCCCTTCTTTTTATATACTAAAATTTGCAGAAACACTCTTGGTTAGATTGAACAAGAATAGAATATTATTAAGCAATTACTTTATTGTACAAGAAGTAAGTCTGCTTAATATTTGATACATTTATTGTTAAACCATAAAATGTATTATCGTTACTTATGGGTAAAAATAGTCAAATATATGCTCTGAGTTTAAAGGGCGTTTCACATATGCATACTTGTTTTGGTAAATGTTACAGAGTCCTTAGGGAATTGGAACAATAATAATTAGTTATAAGATGAGAAAATAAAGAAAAAGGACCTAAAACTGTTGGCAGGGAGGAAAAAAAAAAAAAGGACCTAGAACCAAAGCTATCTCGGTGAATCCAGAGAGTAATGATCCAATTG